AGGTATACTATCTATACCTCATGAGTTGTAAGAATAAATGAAATTAGACATTATCTGTATCTCATGAGTTGTAAGAATAAATCCAAGTAGCCATTTAGAAAGCTTAGAAGACAGCATGACAGGTCTCTGGTGCTCAAAAACATCACTATGACTATCATTTTTATGAAAAAAACAAAAAACCCCGAGACACTTTCTTTAAAAAGTATTTTAATTATATGTACATACAGAAACATCTGTAAGCAACATGTTAAAGTTAGCTTTTAGAATAAGTTATTACGTGATAATTTCTGGTTTTCAATAATTTATCCAAGTATCTTTCTCATAATTTTGCAAGCTAGTTCTCTCAAACTCTCACCTAGAGAAGAGTGAAATGATATAAAAGTACATTGAAAAGATCTTAAATTCCCTTTGACCCTCAATAGACAAAATTAGTTTACAAAAGACAACTAAGAAAAAAACACCTTAGCAAGAAAGCACAGAAGCCTTTAATGCCAGGCAAGTCGTGACAAGTTTGGGATGTACTCCTGGTCTGAGAGGAATTTATTTTATTAACCCACAATAAACTGAATTAAAACAAAGGTTTACCCTTTTAAAATGTTATTTCTCTTTGTCCAGAAGAAAAACTAAAGACTGTTTCTTTCATGAGGCCCTTCTTCAGGCTCTGGTGTAATCAGACCAAGCCCCTGGACATTCTTCTTTTTCACAAAGTCCTAAAAGCACTTAGAGGCCTTTTCCACACCCTTTATACACCCTTTCGTGCTGCTTGTGGCGTCATCAGCACGCATTTGCTGTCCCCAGGTAGGTTACCAGATCCACAAGGCAGGGAGTGGCCTACTTCCGTAATCCTACCCGGCTCAGGCTAGTCTCTGCAAGGATTATTACATGTTTGTATCAAGGGACACACACATTTATAACCTAAAACCCGGTCAACACTGGCACTGGCTTCAGAAGAGGGTGGCAGATGGGTCTCCGAAGATGCCTGGATCAATCATGAAATATTTAACTATGTAGTTATTTATTCAGCAGCATTAATTTCTAATAACCACATAACATCATTTAAATTAGGGTAAAATGACAGAGAATTCTAAGCCAAGGGCCTGAAGAGAGAATTGCCAAGTTTTTACACCATTCAGCTGAGCTTGAGAGGTTTTTTGTTTTTGTTTTTGTGTTTTTCCCCCAAAACTCGTCGTTCCACTCAAGAGTAGTTCTCTAGACTGATAACGTGAAGGTTAAGAGCATGGGCTCCAGAGTCCTACTGCCTGGTTTGAACCTTACCTCTACCACTTTCTAGCTGCATGATGTTGACAAATTATTTGACTTCTGTGTGCAATTTCCTTCAATTCGTACAATGAGGCGAAGCCTCACAAAACTACTCTGAGGATTAAATGCACTTATAAACGAAATGATTAAGACAGAGCCCGGAACTTGGTAAGCATTTTGTAAGTGTGAGGTGCTATCATCAGCATTATAATTATTATTAGGATAGTTTTCCTCACCATCTCATTTAATTGGAGTGGTTAAAACATACACATAATCTACACAAAGAAAATTTGAATCTGGTTTGTTATCACTCACAATCTGGTCTCATACCAATCTCCAGATTTTTAAAATTATTCTTCTACTTTTATTGAGATCTAATTGGCATACATCACTTGTAAGTCTAAGGTGTGTAGCCTAATGGCTTGACTTATATACACTGTGCAGTAATGACCTCAGAAAATTTAATTAGCAGCCATCAGCTCATATAGACACAATAAAAAGCAAAAAAATATATATTTTCCTTGTGATGAAAATTGTTCAGATTTACTCTTAACTTTCATATATATCATACAGCAGTGTTAGCTATAGTTTCCATGTCATACATTACAATTTCTAGATTCTGACAAGTAAAATGGAAGAGCTTCATTGGCTTTAATTACAATTCTTTCTCCTCCTCAGTTTAAAGCTCCAAGAAAATGGCTACTTCAATTCCAGGTCTGGTTTTCTACTTAGTTCTCTGAAAGGATTTATTGAAAACCCCAGTCTGCTGGAACATTCCTGCTGCTTACCTTTCAGTAGAGTAACTTTGTATACACAGTACAGAGGATGTCCATTTGGTTTCAATTTTCTACTACACAAACACTGCATTGTACAATAAATGGCAATGCTCTCTCAATGATCTAAAGGCACATTGTTTTTGCTCCTTGATTTTCTGATCTACTTTAACTCTGTGGGGATTAAGTTTCCTGTCCCCCACAACAAACACCTCTCGATGTATTGTGAGCATCCAAACAAGCTAGTTGCTGTTTTGTTTTGTTTGTTTTTTTTTAAGTACAGCATAATCACGTTAGTCTTCCAACAGTTAAAATATAAAATCAAATGCAAATGCATGAGGTTTCTAATTACATGATTTTTGCCCCCATTTCTATACAGAAAACCACCAGGTAAATGAAAACTTAGTTTGTAACTCAGGTTGAAAACTTCGAGTATGTGACTTTTTAGTTATCAAGTGTCTTTATACGGGTTAATAAAACCTCAATAAACTTGTCTTTTCATTACGAGTACACAGACCTACTTTTCTCGTACGGCATGAAATTATATAGTATACAGTAAAGGGACTTAAAAAGTGCCGAACTCTTTTTTGAAACTTATCACTTACATAAAAGTATCCCATTTTTCAGAATACAGTAGTTCCCTCGAACCTCATCCTACCACACACAGGGGTGTTTCAAGACCTCCAGTGGATGCCTATAACTATGGACAGACCCAAACCCAACGTATACTGGTTTCTTCCTCTATGTACATACCTATGATAAAGTTTAAATTACAAATGAGGTGCAGAAAGAGATTAAATAATAAAACAATTATAACAATATACTATGATAAAAGTTATGTGAATGTGCTCTCTCTCAAAATATCTTCACTCTTCTTCCTGTGATCATGTGAGAAGATAAAATGCCTACCGGATGGGATGTAGTGGGACGAATGACGCAGGCATTATGATTTGGGGGTCAGGCTCCTATTGGCATTCTAACAATACCTACTTGTGCACTGCGGTTGACTACTGCTAACTGAAATCACTGAAGGTGAAACCACAAATAGCTGGAGACTACTGTTTATCCTAGGCCTTGGCCTACTCTCTTACAAGTATGTGCACTTCTGGTTTTCTGGGTTGTGAGCATCATGTGGTCCAGAGAATCATACTAGGAGCCGCCGCTGCTCAGAGAGCTAGGGGAGCTCCAAACTGCCCCTGGAAAGGCAAGGACTGTCAAAGATGACAGGGCCTCACATTCTGAAACCCTCACATTTTGCAATGCAAAGCTGAAGTCCAGGGTGGGTACACGACTCGCTTGGGCAGCTCACTGGTGCCAGAGCAGTATGAGAACACAGGCCCCGTAACTACAGGGCATGCTGCCAGTGCCCATGGCTCTCTAGTGCCACCGAGCCACAAGTTCTCCTAACATCCAGACGACAAGGGAGCTCCCCAGCATCTGCCAACTCCCATGACCCTTATCTGGCATCACCAGTAAGAACTAAAGCTTTGATCTCACTTATGCCTCACCTCCCCAAGTGTGGCAACATCCCCAATCAGGATCATTGTTCCTCTTCTGTTTCTCTCCCCAGTGAAGAAGACTTCAAGTGAATTTTTTCTTCCCGCTCAGCTCCTCTAGGGCTGGGAATGAAAACGTGCTTCAGATCTCTCTTTCTCCATCCATACTTCTTCCTGAGTTTGGTCCTCAGAACCTCAAGACCTTGAGGCTAGGCCTAAATCTAAATAAATCATCCTTAAGACACTTAGGCTCATTATACACTTCTCACACAAGAGGCTTTATGATAGGATTGGAAAATAAAACCTAAAACTACCAAGGTGTCAAGAAGGAAAGAGATCCCGTGTTATGTTTGGTTTTGTTAGTTTCTGCAAAATGTTCTCACACGTGTTGACACATCACTCTAGAGGTACTTCGTCCACCCACCCCTCCTCCCCAGACCATTCAACAGTAGACACTATTTTTATACAGGAACTTACTTCTAAATCCTTTGGACATGGCTTTAATTTGCTCCAGGTTGGACCTGTTAAAATAAAGGGTGTTCCCTGCAGTGTTCTCAGTCAACTGGAATGGCTAGCAGTGCTTCTGTCTCAGTCTCTATGAAATAGGCTGACTTTTCCATTTCCTATTCTGAACTGTAACCCAGAGAAATCTCTACCATCAGCCAAATTTTTAGTAAGACACTTAACAGCTACTCTTACAGCACTCAAATTTCATAAACCTATCATGACTTTAAATCTACTACTTCTGGGGTGCCTGGGTGGCTCAGTCGGTTGAGCATCTGACTTCAGCTCAGGTCATGATCTCACTGTTCATGAGTTCGAGCCCTGCGTCGGGCTCTGTGCTGACAGCTCAGAGCCTGAAGCCTGCCTCAGATTCTGTGTCTCCCTCTCTCTGCCCCTCCTCTTCTGGTGCTCTGTCTCTCTCAAAGTTAAATAAAAAAATTTTTTAAAACCCTACTACTTCTAAAATATAAACCAACATAAAAGTTCATCTCAGAAAAGTTTTAACTTTTTAGTCACTCTCTTATCCCTGAAAATTTTTAATACATCTTTCAGTAAAATTCAAGAAAAAACCCATCTCTTTTCGTATGGTGAGGGCCAACCATCAGTTTAGTGTGTAACACGTAAGTACTATTAAACACTTAATCATTTATTAAAAAATTTTTCTAATTCTGAAATTATATAACAAGCACCCAGTTGTGTATTTATTTACAATTCCTCTGAATAACTTAGAAGATGGCTTACACACCTCTATCTTTCTCCAACTAGCCCTTACACTGCTCAAAGACAAGAGCTGTGTCTATGAGTTCTTTTTCTACCTTCCCTGGTCCACTAAAGGCTCAATGTTTTGGTGACAGAATGTGTTGGTGTTATAACCAAAACCTGTCTTTCTGCTTTCTGACATGCCTAATTTTACATTTAAATTATCTGTAAACTTCTGTAAGGCACAACTGATTTATTGTATTCTTACCAGAACTGGACACACGCCTGATCCTCTGAGGAGATAAGGCCCGGTCAGAATTGAGATTTCTACTGTCACTATTCCGCCTCAAACAGGAAACAGAAGGCCCCACTTTGGCTTTTGAACCAGGTGTTTTCCTCAAATTGGAGGAGTCAGGCTTGGAAATATTCCTACCTGAGGTGACTGCAGTTTTTGAAGCAGAACCCTGTGAAAAAATAGTTAAGACTTTAGTCCAGATTATACCTTCCTCATACCATTTCCCGTGGCACTATGTCAAAATGACAATTTCTTTCTAAGCAGATATGCCACAGGGCTATTTTTCATTTTTAGAATGAAGGAATTAAACCTCTTCATAGTTTGCTCTTAAATCCATTATGATCTTTTATGCCCAACAGCGGAACTATTCCCAAGATGCCCAGGGCCACAAGCTGAAGTCAAGCTGCAGCTCTCAGTCTGTTCCCTGAGGCCTTTCTATAGCATCTGATGCTGAGGACGCCATCTTTCTACAGTTTCTCTAACAGAACGCTCTCTTGGTTTTCCTTCTACCTGTCTGGTTATTCCTCCTCCGGATCCTGTTCTTCTGTACACCTTTCAATGCTAGTTGTCCCGAGGGTCCCAGACGTGACCCTGTTCTTTCCTTGCCGTATGCTCTCCTTAAGTGACCTTGTCCGCTGTTTCAACCAGCACCTACACCCTGTTGTATGTGAAGTCCATATGTCCTAGCAAGCACTCTCCTGCCTTTCTCCTGTATTTAGCTTCTTTCTTTACCTATCCACTTAGCACACTTCAGGCACCTCTACCTAGCAATGCCAACAGTAATCATATCATTGTCATTTTTATGGATCAACATATAGCCCCTACAGAATAATACTTTAAGCTCAAAATCCATGTTTCAACCCCTTTAATCTTCATAACCCTAGAAGTTGTTACCTTTATCATAAAAGGTAACAAATGTTTACATTTTACAGAAGAATACGAAGCAGTTTCTAACATTAAACTAGTTTCACCCAACCATCTCAAAACTTACTTCTTTCCATAGCCATCACAACATACCCAGGAGCCCAACATAAACAATGAAAGCTATTTCTAGGTGCTTCCTTGTTTACTTCTTCAACTCTCAATAGCCTTCTTTCCCTTTCCCATCCATCTTAGCAAAGGCCTGCATCATTTCTTCCCAGGATTACTGAAAGCACATCCTTAGGATTTCTGGTCTCACCAGCTTCCAATTTGTGTTCCATTGGACTGCTAAGGCAATCTCCTCAAAGGCCAAACTGGGTTAGGTAGCTCACCTCTGTCTTCCAGATAAAGTCAACTCTTAACAGCAAGGCACACTGAGCCCTTCTGGATCTGGCAACCCCTGGTGGCTTCATCAGCTTATTCCTTACTGTTCACATTTCTGCACCCCCACCTCCCATCACACTCACTACCTGGAATCCCCTAAACGAGAATATCTTTTCGTGTTTCTTCCTCTTTGTATGTGTTATTTCCTCCACCTAGAATACTTTTCCGATTCATAGTGACTAAACTAGCTCCCTTGGAAGCCTTCTTTGACAACCCTCTTCAAGGCCACCACCCCAAGCAGCATAGCAGCTGATACATACTCCCAACGAGTATTTAACAACCCCTTTTAGTCCCCTTTATCTTCTAATATCACCCACCATACCAGACACTAGGTTTGGCCAGAGGTGTAGCTTTCTTTCCTATATCCCAACAATCACCATCATACATAGTATACAGTAGGCAACCAATAAATATTCCCATTCTACATAGAGGAGGTGACACTCTGAGCTTCATTCAAGGAAAAATTCCAACACCGTAAGTTATATTTTGTATTCTCCCTTTACATTACAAAAACTGAGCCTCATAGAGACTAGGTAATTGGCCCAATGTCATTCTGCCAATGAATGATGGAGCTAATCTGAAAGTGTATCTAACTCTAAGATCCATACTTCTAACATCTATGCTGTTTTCCCTACTCATACCTTTCTTTCCTTGCATAAGTAAGTCATAAGTAGATTAATTTCCAATACAGATATGTAAAGCCCCATGCTACCTACAGTTGAAATCATACACTGTGTGAATCCAAAGTTTAATCGGGCAAGACTTCCAGGGAACATGCGGAGCAGGAGCCTAAACTCATGTTGTCCCAAGAATATTACTAGATGGACTTCAAGCTGTATTACAAAGCAGTAATCATCAAGACAGTATGGTACTGGCACAAGAACAGACACTCAGATCAATGGAACAGAATAGAGAACCCAGAAATGGACCCACAAATGTATGGCCAACTAATCTTTGATGAAGCAGAAAAGAATATCCAATGAAATAAAGTCTCTTCAGCAAGTGGTGCTGGGAAAACTGGACAGTAGCATGCAGAAAAATGAACCTGGACCACTTTCTTACACTATACACAAAAATAAACTGAAAATGGATGAAAGACCTAAAGGTAAGACAGGAAGCCATCAAAATCCTCGAGGAGAAAGCAGGCAAAAACCTCTTTTGATCTTAGCTGCAGCAACTTCTTACTCAACACAGCTCCGGAGGCAAGGCAAACAAAGCAAAAATGAACTATTGGGCCTCATCATTCCAATTTTAGTATATGTGCTGCCGAAGCGAGCACTATTGGGCCTCATCAAAATAAAAAACTTCTGCACAGCAAAGGAAACAATCAGTGAAACTAAAGGGCAACCAACGGAATGGAAAAGATATTTGCAAATGACAAATCCAATAAAGGTTTAGTATCCAAAAGCTATAAGGAACTTACCAAACTCGACACCCAAAAAAACAAATAATCCAGTGAAGAAATGGGCAAAAGACATGAATAGACACTTCTCCAAAGAAGACATCCAGATGGCCAACCGACACATGAAAAAATGTTCAACATCACTCATCATCCGGGAAATACAAATCAAAACCACAATGAGATACCACCTCACACCTGTCAGAACGGCTAACATTAACAACTCAGGCAACAACAGATGTTGGCAAGAATGTGGAGAAAGGGGATCTCTTTTGCACTGCTGGTGGGAATGCAAGCTGGTGCAGCCACTCTGGAAAACAGTATGGAGGTTCCTCAAAAAATTAAAAATAGAACTACCCTACAACCCAGCAACCACACTATTAGGTATTTATCCAAGGGATACAGGTATTCTGTTTCAAAGGGACACATGCACCCCAATGTTTATAGCAGCACTATCAACAATAGCCAAAGTATGGAAAGAGCCCAAATGTCCATCAATGGATGAACGGAAAAAGAAGATGTGGTATGTGTGTATGTGTGTGTGTGTGTACACACACACACACACACACACACACACACACACAACGGAGTATTACTCAGCAATCAAAAAGGATGAAATCTTACCATTCGCAACTACATAGACAGAACTAGAGGGTATTATGCCAAGTGAAATTAGTCAGAGAAAGACATCCTACGACTTCACTCATATGAGGACTTTAAGACACAGAACAGATGAACACTAGGGAAGGGAAGCAAAAATAATATAAAAACAGGGAGGGGAACAAAACATAAGAGACTCTTAAATATGGAGAACAGAGGGTTACTAGAGGGGTTGTGGCAGGGGAGATGGGCTAAATGGGTAAGGGGCATTCATCTACTCCTGAAATCATTGTTGCACCATATACTAACTAACTTGGATGTAAATTTAAAAAATGAATTAAATTTAAAAAAAAGACGGGGCGCCTGGGTGGCGCAGTCGGTTAAGCGTCCGACTTCAGCCAGGTCACAATCTCGCGGTCCGTGAGTTCGAGCCCCACGTCAGGCTCTGGGCTGATGGCTCAGAGCCTGGAGCCTGTTTCCGATTCTGTGTCTCCCTCTCTCTCTGCCCCTCCCCCGTTCATGCTCTGTCTCTCTCTGTCCCAAAAATAAATAAATGTTGAAAAAAAAAAATTAAAAAAATAAATAAATAAAAAAAAGACTACTACTAGATAACACTCATATTTTCAGTGCAAATAACCCAGAAAATGACCCCAAGACTAGCACAATAAACTTCACAACCAAATGTGGAGAAGAGGTCACATTATAGAGTGTAGGACCAGCAGAGAGCTAAACACCAATGGTCTGGATTTGGGAGGGAGGGAGCTATAGGCAAGGAGAGGGGCAAGAAATAGACTATCACACGAGGAAGCCTGCATGGGGAAAACTAATCCCATATGCATTTGGCTTTGGAAATCAAAAGGGCAGAATTTCCCATTAGTTCTTAAAACTAGCAGGACTTAAAGCCTAGAACTTTAAAAATCAGCAGGCTCTGTGCTAAGGGAGAGCCTAGAGGGCAATAGGAAGCTGAGTCCTTAACCTTAAAGAGATAACACAACAAAAAGCCCAAGGACATAGGGCTTAGAAGCAGCAATTTCAAAAATGCCTGGGGTACAAAGGAGGGAAAGTTAGTTACTAATCTCAGAGTTCCCTGAGGGACTTTTCAAGGAACAAAGGAGCTGGCAGGTAGCTTTTCCCTCCCCCACCCCCAAAATAATCACATGGCCAACTGCAGGAAACAGCCAGCACTACCTTACTTGCCTATACCATGCTCTGCCCCCTCCTGCTGGGCTTGCCTCAGTCCTGATGCTGTGGATTTCCCGCCCAGAAGACCCAGGGAAACCCTGCCACCATTGCATCTCTGACTTCCCTAGGAGGATGTATGCGCCTTGTTAAAACTACACCCCCACCCAGAGGCACTTCATGGAGCAACCCAGGCCTGCCTCAGTCTCCAAAGTGACTAAGTGTCCCCTGAGGAGAAGGACTGGCGTCCACAGCTTGTGACACCAAGATCCCATCGTCATGCTTCCCAGAACTGCCTCAGCCAGCCGCTGGTCTCTGTAGCGGCTACACAACCCCGGTGGAAGGGGACCTGTGGGAACAGCTTGTGGCACCCTGTCCCTAATGCATGTGCAGTACAAACTCAGGCTGGCCCGGTCTTGGAAGCAGTGGTGAGTCTCCTGTAAAGAGGATCTACACCACCTTGTTAAAAGTGTGGGCCCTGCCCACTACTTTCAAGAGCAACAGACATAGCCAACTTTCTTAACATAGAGAAACAAACACAGAGTTAGGTGAAATGAGGAGACAGAGGAATATGTCCCACATGTAAGAATAGGACAGAAGAAGAGAGACCTAAGTGAAACAGAGATAAGTAATATGCCTGATAGAAAATTTAAAGTAATGATCATGAAGATACTCCCTGTACTTGA